CAATATGTATATAAAATAGAATAATAGTTGAAAATACATATAAAAATATTAATTATATAAAAAAATTTCCGTCTTAAGTCACACGTTACAAACGACGTGGCTCGCCAAGGATTGGAAAAGCTTGAGGTTTGACATTGCCGACAAGTCACGCCTTACGTTATTTAGAACCTTGGTAATATTATCATTCGGTTCATAATAACCAATAAGGATCATTTAATTTTTTTTTACAATTAGTGTCAATTTCGATTATAAGGTAAAAAGGTTGAATATTTATGTGAATTTGATAATGCAAATAAATCATTTCATAGATGATGTAAATACATAAGCATAATGTAAAGTGACCGCTTGCAATTTCATGATTAATAGAGTGATTTAGTTTAAGTTATAACAAACTATGGTCGATGCTTCAACGATTTGTTTTTATTAAAAATGGTTACTAATTCCTCATTTCATGATTACTAGAGTGAATTGGTTGCCAATGTGGACTAGCCCAGTTATTAGATGCTTTACATCTTAGATTGGAGGTCCTTAGTTTAATCCAGACGTTGACGAATTTTACTAACTTCTGCCACTAATTGGCCGTTAAGAAAATAGAGTGATTTGGTTGAAGTTATTGCAAACTATGGTTAACTCTTCAACAATTTCTTTTTTAAAGAAATACGTAATAATTCCTTATTTCAGTTAAATCTTATTGAAATATATTGTTTTAAAATTCATTAATGGTTAATCCTTAGTTTTTAATATATATTTTTTTTAAATCAACCCATGTAATACATAGGTTTTAACGGAAGTAGACAAGATATTGTGAATGCTTCATTAAGTTCTTCCACATCTGTTCAAAATGCAAACTTCTAAGATTAACAAAAAAACATGAGGTTAAGTGTTAACATATGATATTGAAGAAACAACAATATTTGCAAACTAGCAATTAAATATAGGAGAAGGAAATATTGGTGGTTTAAATGATGACAAGACAATTATTGATTTTCTGTTGATCCTATTGATTCATTAGTTTAATATGTTTATTTATTTCAAAATTTTATTTTAGAAAATGCTTAATATTTATATCTTGATATTTGATTTTTTTAATCAATCCGTGTGGTATACGGGTCTCACACCTAGTTACATAGTAAATAGAAATATATCACACTCATTGCTGATGGCTTTTTTGCATTGTTTTATGTGTGAAGAAAGTAATTTTTTTTAACATAGTATCAAAAATAGGGAGGGTCTAGAAAGTGCGATCATCCACTCTTTAATTTTTCTTGTGAATGAAGATGTGAAAAATATAGTATAGATGAGAAATCTATACTAATAAATAAAAATCAAATTGGTCACATGTTATTCTCATTAATTTTGACACTTGTAATTTTGTGGTTTTTTTATATTAATAAAATCCACATGTCAAATTCTGGGTTTTTCAATTTTTTTTAATTAAAATCTACATAATACTTCTATTTGTAATGTATTAAATGTTTTAAATGATATGAATGTGCTAGTCAATTCCAATTAATACGTTCTTCCTTTCTGTTCTAAGTCCTTATTTTAAGGCCAATATCATTGATACTCTGCTATCCTTTCCAAAATATTCATGAGTCTTATATCGATATCATTCGAAAACGATATCAATCAGTAGATTTCTAGCATGTTTCAATCTTACAAATCCCTTTCAAAATTCAATTTCAATTTAATGTATATATGACTTCGTTGTTCATTTCATTCTTCATTGCATTACGACCATTACTTTGGTTGAATTTGAAACTGTTTGCTCTACGAAATCATCATCAGCGATTACAACACCTATAGTAGATTAGTAATTCTAGTATCTTTTATGTATACATAATGATTTTTGTTTTGTTTTGAGTTGAACATGAGGTGTAGTTACATCGTGGAGAGTTGAAGATGGTGACTGCTTTAGTTGGTTCGTGCAACAACCAAACAAATCACAAAGCTTGATAATTTCCCGAAAAGATAATATGACAAATCTTGCAGGGGAGATTAGTGATTCATTGGTTAACCTAAGCTACTTGAATCATCTTATGAAAATTATTTTCATGGAACCATTCCCACCTTTATTGTTTCCATGACTCGATTAAGGCACCTCAGTGACTCAGTCTCTGTTGCAATAATCTCAATGGATCCATTCCCAGATCTATTTATACCTTAATCAAATTAAAGCACCTTCCCCTTAGCTATAACAATCTTAATGGAACTATTCCAAAGTTTATTCGTTTGTTGAGTGAATTAAGGAAACTTGAACTTTCCTATAACTCTTTTTATGTAACCATTCCTCTAGAGTTTGGAAACTTCACAAACATGCAAATGCTTACCCTTGACTCCAGTGGAAGGTGTAGTGTTGAAAACATAGAGTGGTTGTCTTATCTATCTCAAATATTGTCTCTAGCTAGTTGAGAGAACAATTGATCCCAAATTATCTTCCCCCACTTATATCTTCAACATAAAAAAGTACACAATTATTTCCATAAAAAATATAACTAATGATAATTATAAATTAGCGGCATGATACATGTTGAAATGATCAAACCAGGAACTCAAATACGATAGGTTGACGAGCCAACCGGCAATTAGAATTTCTTCAACATATTTAATAGACACACAAACTGCATCCTCGTCTGATAACTTATGAAGCAATATGTGGAACACATCAATAGCATGTTGCAGTTTTACATACTCGGTCGTCTTAACCATAAGAAAGACGCATGATCAGAAGGGGTGACCTGAATGCGAGCCTACAAAATATTCACCAAATTGCAAGTTGATGTCAAGGCAAAGGATCTCAAACATCATTTCTTGTACCGGGCTTTGAGGGCTTGTCATAACTTCTTTGTAGATTGTAGAATATGTAATGTATAAACAAATGATCCCCTTTTACCCCGGAAGAAATATCTAAGTATCTAACCACCTACTAAACTAAACAAGCCAAATGATTTTACATATTAAAAGGTTAGCTTAGAGCTAGCAAATACAAAGACAAAAAAATAGAATGTTCTCCTACACATTTTATCAAACATGTGGTGTCCATACCCATTAAAGGAAAACATATAACAAAATTTAAGTTCAAGAAGTCCTTCTCTCTTACTTCACTGGTGGTAATTTATTGCTCATTTAACCATTCAACTACCTCTATCTCTCTACAATCTTCAGTGCTGAAAATTAACAAATTCAAATTATATACGAATGTTCTATTTCAATTTAATCAGATGAACAACGAAAAACACGTAAACAAAAGTGAGCTTTAACAGTTAAACCCAATATAAGTTATAGATTACAACTCCGTGTAAACAAATCCAACTTACACAACCAAAAATCAGAAGTGTAATAGGTTTCTAGCAAAAACAAACAAACAAACAAACAAACAAACATACCATCAATATCGCTGCTGAAGGAAGGATTAAACGAGATTGAAGGTTGATTGATTAGTCTTGTTGAAGCTTGATACTTGGATGATGGAATATGGACGACAAATCAACGTTGTAGTGAAAAAAGCTAGAACACAAGGGCTTAAATCTGAATCCACAAAAAGCCTTAAAAGCATAACTCACATTGGGAATGGTTGTGCTTGAAAACGGAGAAGTCGGTTTGGGAATCAGGAGAACGTTATTGAAAACGGATAAGTCGTTAAAAAAATCCAAATTTTTTTGAAAAATGTGAAGTCGTTAAAAAAAATATATGGAACCGTTGAAAGCAAAGTTCCAACTAAGGTATAAGTTATAAACATTTCATGTGCTTAAACCATCCGACCTACAAATTCCTTTGGTCTTTTACCGCATAATATTCTTTATATTTGCTAAAACTATATATATATATATATATATATATATATATATATATATATATATAGTTTTAGCAAATATAAAGAATATTATGCGGTAAAAGACCAAAGGAATTTGTAGGTCGGATGGTTTAAGCACATGAAATGTTTATAACTTATATATATATATATATATATATATATATATATATATATATATATATATATATATATATATATATATATACAACTCGTAGGGGCCCGAGATTTGGCGAGGCCCGGGGCGGTCGCCCAGCTTGCCCTCCCTCTAGGGCCGGCCCTGTTACCAAAACACGCATTTTGGAACATAGTCTCGCATAGCGGTCGGGGTCTCAGTTTAGTAAGAATATTCGCAGCAATAGACGGTTTGCAAGATATTGTAAGAGAAACATTAAAAATGTCATCATGCTGCAATAAACAAAGAAAAAATCACTTTCAAGATAATCCTGAACTGTATATGGTGCTCCGTTACTCATGCATTGTGATGAGCAATCCAGACTAGTTCATCGTATTTCAGACTAGTTCGTTGTATTCAAGACATGTTTAGAATTCGTTTGTGTGTTCCGGAATAGGAAAAATCAATGCGGAATAACGTAAGGAGCGAAAAAATTATTTCTCTAATACTTTGGTCTTTACAAACAGTAAAAAAGACCTAATTTAGGCACATTCTAAATATCAACGTAACAATCCGTACCTGTTCTTCGTGTTCCGGAATAATGTTCTTCGTGTTCCGGAATAATGTTCTTCGTGTTCCAGGGTAATTATTCGAGGTCTGGATTAACGATTTTACAATTTTAATCAGAAAATTAAACAACCAGAAGCAAAGGAATCAATAACTAACTCGTAAAACCTCCACCTCATCGTAATAAAATGCCATTTCTTCTTTGCCTACTGAGTCTCAAATATGATGATATTTCCATATGCATTCCGAAATAGGGTATGTAATCCAGAACCCAATCGGAATGGGCTACCATATACAAATAACTGAATAAGTGTAATGGTCAATTCCGAACAAAAAGGTCATTTAATAAAAAAAAAATAAACCGGTTATTTTTTAAAATAAACAATACAAAACTGATTACTTAATTTCCCTAAAAGCTCATTTTGACCAATAATTATTTTTATTAAAAAATAATACTTGTTTGGTTAAATAAACAATCCAAAGCACCCCTTGGCTCAATCAATCAGATATTAGGAGATCGCAAATGAAACATTTGATTTGACCGCCCTTCCCCCTAATCCCGCTTGCATCCTTCTTACCATCTGAGCGACACCAACCTGCGGTCGACGGACGACAGTTCCTTCCAATCGGAGCTCCACTAACAATCGCTCCCCCTTCTCTTATTACGTACATCTCTGAATCACACCTCTTCATTCCCTGCTGAAATTCATGTAACATCTCGTCTCTGCATATCTATGGTACCAATTCGACTTCGAAATCCAAAAAGTTATTTTGTGTTTTATCTTTGGCTAATACATCTTAATTCGTCTTAAATTCTGCAAGTTTGCATCAGAGGAATCTTAAAATCCTTTTATTTTTGTGTATTTCTTGATTGATGTTGAAACTAAACAAATTCTTCTCTGATTTGAAATATGAGGATGTCATGTTTCGGATGCTATCCATGTTATGTTTGGATTTAGGAAGTAATGGGACATATGAAGATGATTAATTCCTTCAATTATGCATATGAAGTGTTTGATATAACGCTTGAATGAAATCAATGTTTTTTATCTGACAAGATGAATAACAAAGAAACAAATTCTAGTCATTGTGTCATTTGAAAGACCTTAAATCGATCTTATGTCAAGGTCAAGTTGTAACTGCTCACTTTATAATAATGTCAACGATTTTAGTCCTGTTTCCTGACTTGCCATTATTAGAGACCAAATACATCGATGCAGTTTGTGATCTTAAGACCTGAGTTTTATGAACTGAGCCTTGAATAAAAAAAAAAACATGTATCATGGTATCATTGGGGCTTGAAATTTTTTTTTTCTTGAGCAAACATCAAGCATGGGCCTAATTAATATTGTATGGCTGTAGGCCTGTATCTTGTCTGCCAATAGCAAAAACATTAGTCACTTTCTTACTTTCCAGCAACTAATCGTTTTCTGATTTGGATGGGAAGATGACAACTACACAGATGAAAAAATCATAACTAGTTGTTGTTCTGTCTTTATGTTTCTATTAGATTTTAAGATCAGATCAAAAAATCAAGAAGGATGATTCTTATGATATATAAAAAAAGTAGTATTGTTGTCTAAATCGGTCTAAAAAAGAAAGAAATATTACTCGCCCTTTAGTAGTTTAGGGCCACCATCATCAATTAGGATTGTCCCTCTTTTTATCTTATTGAGTCAGCATTGCATTTTTTTTATATTATTGAGTCAATCAGTGCATTCTTTTTACATTATTGAGTCAATCAGTGCTCTTTTCTACATAATACCTTCTTCACTTCCCATGGGATTTTCATATTCTAAAATGATAATCTTATAATTAAATGTTTTTTTTTGTAATTTTACGAACTATCTAAATGTGAAAGTAAAAAAAACGTTCTACAGGAATTTTTATTAAATAAAATAACTCAACTTTTGGTTAATAAGTAAAAAATAATTATTGAGTTGTGGAGTCTTTTTCTGGTTCTTGTGTTCTTTATTTTTCTCGCATCAGTTAAATTTGTGTGTGTGTGTGTGTGTGTGTGTCGATCGTAATCATAAACATTAATGTGCGTAAACTATAAGTATACAAGATAGGTTTCGAAAAATAAATTTATTAGGTTTATATGAAATATTTTCTTCTCAACTTTGTGTTTTTTGCGATGGTTATTTTGATGGGTTTGATTTTGTTATAATGAAAATGACTTAAAGAGGATCGGGGTGAAAATTTGGCGATGGTGGCAAGCCGACAGTCCGTAAGCCGCAAACAGTCCAAAAGACCCAAATCGTCATATCCATATTTCATGGATGGTTACTTTATTTGATTCTATCATTTTTTTTTTTTTTTGAATTATATCACATAATTCGACGACCAAAAAATATCACAATATTGGAAAAGATATTTATTTCATAGATGGTCGCTCTATTTGATTCTATCTACTTTGGGCCAATTTAAATTTCATGGAAAGTAAGTGTTGTATGCTCCATGCAGATAGGCCACCAATTTGAGTCCATCCACTTTAATAATTCATTCTTATAGTTATCACTATATAAAACTTCATAGGCACATCTTCATACATACATCAACAAAAAAAAAAAAATTTCACCAACATCTTTATTTACATGATGCATCCTTGTGTTTTTATAATGTTCTCACTTCTCTTGCTACGCCTTCAGGATACAACTGCCAACCAATTGGTGGCAGTGGGAGGAGGAGGAGATGATAATGGTGTTACCACGAACAAGTGTTTGGATAAGGAGAGAGATGCTCTCCTTCAATTCAAAGCAAAACTTCAAGAGCCTGATGGTAGTCCCTCTAAATGGAGACCTGAAGATGGTGATGACTGCTGTAACTGGAGAGGAGTCAGGTGCGACAGCCAAACAGGTCATCATGTTACAGAGCTTGATTTGTACGCCAATGGTCTTGTAGGTGAGATTAGCCATTCATTGGCTAACTTAAGCTACTTGAATGTTCTTGATCTTTCCTCCAATTCTTTTCATGGAACCATTCCCACCTTCATTGGTTCCTTGACCCAATTAACATTCCTTCGCCTTTCTGATAACTCTTTTTATGGAACCATTCCTCCAGAGTTTGGGAACCTCACCAACTTGCAATACCTTTATCTTGAAGACGTTGGCAGATGTAGAGTTGAAAATCTTGAGTGGCTGTCTCATCTATCTCATCTGATGAGACTCTTTATGGATGGGATTTCCCTAGCCAAAGCAAACCGGTGGGTAGATGTGATTTCGAGTCTCCCAAAGCTATCATATTTAAGTTTAGAGAGATGTGAGCTCTCACAGGTCATGTATCCACATTCTTCATTTCTCAACTCTTCTTCATCTATTGAATTCCTTCATCTCGAAAACAACAATCTTAACTCATCCATGCATCGTTGGTTGTTCCCGTTAACCAACAATAACCTTTCGACTCTTGATCTCTCTGGCAACATGTTGGATGGGATACCCAAATATCTTGGTAACCTCTGTAGTCTGATTACTTTGTCCTTTGATAACAACTCTGCTGTTGTCAATTTTCCTGATTTTCTCAACAACTTGTCTGGATGCACATTGCTTTCATTACAATGGTTGTTTGCTCGAAGAAGCCAATTTAAAGGGTCATTGCCTGATGACATCCAAAACTTTTCATCCCTATTATATCTGGACCTATCAGGTAATCACATAAATGGAACCATAAGTGAGAAACTGTGGGAACTACCCAGCCTTGAAGTGATTGACCTTTCTCAAAATCATCTTAGTGGTGCCATCTCTGAAAACATTGGAAATTCGAAGGCTGTTTTTGTAGATCTTTCAAAGAACCCACTCCAAGGAGTTCCTTCCACAGATCATATGTCAAACCTTTCTTATGTAATGTATCTTGATCTGAACTCTTGCAAGCTCGGGCCTCACTTCCCCAAATGGATTCAAAAACTGGAAAATCTTACCCGTCTTGACATTTCCAATACTAGTATTTCAGACACAGTTCCTCCAGAATTTTGGAACATGCAATTCGACTATTTGAATCTCTCTTCCAACAACATCACTGGGGAAGTACCAGATTTATCATCAAATTCTGGATTCAGTCCAGCGATAGATTTGAGTTCAAACAACTTTTACGGTCCAATACCACATCTTCCTTCCAATTTGGAATTGTTAAATCTTTCCAGAAACAAATTCTCTGGAGGAATCTCCTTCTTATGCCAAGTTGTCAATTGGTTCTTCAAATTTCTTGACCTCTCCCATAACTCTCTAACCGGACAACTTCCAGACTGTTTGAGGCACTTCAGACAACTAACAGTTCTTAATCTAGGACACAACAGTCTATTTGGAAAGCTTCCTCCCTCTATTGGATCTTTGATCCACCTTGAGGCATTGTATTTGTACCAGAATAACTTCTCTGGAGAATTGCCTTTTTCTCTAAAGAATTTCACAAGCTTAACCTCCTTGAATTTGGGGGCCAACAAGTTTTCTGGTAATGTGCCTGTTTGGATCGGGGAAAACTTATCAAGGTTGTATGTTCTTATCCTAAGATCAAACAACTTCTTCGGAACCATCCCTTCAGAATTATGTCAGTTAGCAAATCTTCAAATTTTAGACTTATCAAGGAACAATCTTCATGGAAGCATCCCTTCATGTTTGAATAATCTTACAAGAATGGCTCAGGTAGGATTCTTACCGCCACCAAATGTACATCCCTATACATCTAATATGTATTATGGTCTCATTGATGAGGTGTATGTTGACCATGCAATGATCGGCTGGCAAGGAGTTGAGCGTGAATTCATGAGAACTCTAGGATTGTTGACAATCATTGACCTGTCAAGCAACAATTTAACAGGACATATCCCACATCAACTCACCAATCTTCATGAACTACTTGCCCTCAACTTGTCAAAGAATGCTCTACTTGGAGAGATTCCACAGCAAGTTGGTGAGATGAAAAATCTTTTAGCTTTGGATTTATCTACAAATAGTTTATCAGGAGGGATACCATCAACCATGTCTCAAATGACTTTGTTGTGTTACCTAGACGTTTCCTCTAATAACTTGTCTGGGAGAATCCCATCCAGCACTCAACTGCAATCCTTTCAAGCTTCAAGCTACGATGGAAATGCAGGACTGTGTGGACCTCCCCTTTCCAGAAAATGCCCAGGAGATGAAGAACCACAAGTTGGTAAAAATGAGGGTGATGGCGAAGACAGGGATGAAGATTGGGGATGGTTCTATGTTGGTGGGGGCACTGGTTTTTTTACTGGATTTTGGATAGCATGCGGGGCTTTACTTGTCAACCGTCGAGGGAGGCATGTATTTTTTCACGTTTATGATAGCTTCAAAGATTGGGTTTATGTGAAGGTGGTGGTGTTCATTGCAAAATTGCGGAGGATTGCACATATGTAGTTGTCTATATTTAATTCTTCTTTCCTGTTTTGTATGTTGCTTTATAAACCTATTACTGTTCTTATTTTAGGAGTAGACATATAGTAATGTTAGACCATGTTTCACTTGTACTTGGCAGGGGTTTTTAAGTCCCATTTATCAATAAAATTACCACCAACACCATGGGTGGTAATTTCCAGTTGTGTGTAATGAGACATTTTGAAAAGTTCATTATTTCAGTATGTAGTTATTATTTTATTAATTTATTTTATCTTTTAACCAATTCTCAATGTAGGTTATTTGCAAAATTAGCACTTGAAAGATGATCAGTCCATATATACTTGTTACTATCAGGTGTCTTTTTGTAGGTTATTTACAACAAAATTGGAGAAGTTCCTTTGACACATTATGTATGTAGTCTGAGGATAAGATGCAATCTATGAGCTCTAAATTTGGGGGTTTCAACTGAGATTTCTTTTTGAGGAAAACTGCAATCTACAATAGCCTGACTCTAAATTAGATTTATATAAACACAGTTCAAAAGATGAGTTATAACTAATAACGTGTTCGTAGTGCCCTCTGTTTGTACTATCTTACAAAAAGACTTTTTTAATCATAGTAGGCTGTCTTATTCCTATTTATTGATTTGGATCAACTGCAATTGTCATTAGCATAGATATTGTTTGTGACTTCAATTTTCTGATTATGAATAAATAATAAAATCAACTACTATTTTATTTTTTCTGTTTTGCAGATTTTTAAATATATTTTATTTGATTCTTGAGATTGTGGCCTTGGCCGCAACTTTCAGTTAGAAAGGTAATAAATTTAAGTCATACGTGCAATCGTATTTCTTTGAGTACAACCGATTGGTTGACAATTCATGCTTTATATTATATCAGTCTGTTTGATACTATGAAATTCATAGACTAATGGAATTATATTAGTATTTCGTTGAAGCCTTTCTTTCATTGAAAATGAGATGTTATCTGTTGTCTTTTAATCTCAGTTGATTATTGATTAGGTGCTCTGTAGGCATATGCGAGGCAGGTATACTTCAACATACCAATGGAATCAGGTTCCTTGGTTTCTCTTTAATTGAAAAGTGCTTTATTTGCGTTTATTTATAAAAAAGTTAACATGGTACCCGACTGCTTGATATTTTTGCTATTAGATGCAATGCAGAAAAGAAGGGCCTGTTAGAGTTTCATATCAAATTATTATTATAACCTAGAGCCTAGTTGTTGGGTTATGTGTGTAAGAGACACTTGGATACCCCATCCGGTTGGGATGAAATAATATTAGGCTGAGAGGGCCCATCTCCATCATTGTCATCTGAACAAATATTACAAGGAGCCGACGGAGTTGTTGAGGTAGGGGCAGGAGCTTTCGGTGGAGACGAGATCATAGATGGTGCATCGCGAAAGGACTGCAGCGGTAATAAAGAGGCATCTGAGTTTTTATTTTCACCTGAAAATGGTAAAGAGCTTTCATCGAACCGGGCATGACGGGTGATGTAGACACGAGATGTGATGGGATCAAGGCAACAGTATCCCTTATGTTGAGATGAGTACCCCATAAAAATGCAAGGAAGACTCCCAGGGGCTAATTTGTGTGGCGCATAATCATGAAAATATGGGTAAACCCGACAAGCAAATGCCCAGAAGTTTCCATACGATGGCTGGTGAGAAAAGAGAACCTCAAATGGGGACTTTCCGTTTAAAACAGGCGTCGGAAGCCGATTAATAATATACATTGCTGAGGAAAAGCTTCAACCCAATATGTTGTAGGAACATGTCCATTAAATAGCATAGTCAACCCTGTTTCAACCACATGTCGATGTTTTCGTTCAACACGACCATTTTGTTGGGGAGTGTACGGGCACGATAGCCTATGAAATGTGCCATTAGTAGCAAGAATGTTTTGCACACGATGGTTGACAAACTCCGTTCCTCCATCACTTTGAAATAATTTGCGTGAATTGGTTTTGCACAAGGTTTATAAAAATAGACAAAACATCATAAAAGTCAGATTTCGCACGTAGTGGGTAAAGCCAACCAAATCGAGAATAATCATCCACAAAAAGCACATAATATCGGTAATCCTCAGCCGAGGTAACCGGTGAAGGGCCCCATAAGTCATAGTGAATTAAATCTAACGGGTTTGAAGCCCTTTGTTCATTAACATCAAAAGATAAACGTCGACTTTTAGACAATTGACAAGCCGAACACAAGACCGGTTTAGGAAGTATGGAGGTAACACATAAACTATAAAGGCATAAAGGTATGATTGAAAGTATATCTCTATTCAATGAATACGTGCCTTTAAATATGCTAATTACACAGTTAGATGAAGCCTCATATACAGGAGAAATAATAGGATCTAAACTATAAATACAACAAAGATACTTGACTAACTATTTACATGTGATTGTAATCACTTAAGGTGACCCAATGGATCCGGGTGATCCATTCTCTTTGATACGCCCCCGCAAGATGGAGAATCCGTCAGATACACCAATCTTGGATCGATTTCGGAGAAAAGGAGCTCTAGATAAAGGCTTTGTGAGCATATTTGCAAGTTGATCATGAGAGTTGATGTGAAGAACATGTAGATGTCATGCAGTCACATGTTCACGAACAAAATGGTAGTCTAGAGCAACATGCTTCATGCGTGAATGATAAACTGGATTGGCACAGACATACGTGGCTCCTGTACAAAATAACGTGGGAGTTTGTTTTACAGATATACCCAGTTCATGAAGCAGATTCTTTAACCAAATGAGTTCAGCAGAAGCATTAGCTAATGCTTTATATTTTGCTGACTTCTGTCGTGTAGACCTCCAAGAAACTATGTTGGAGCCCAAGTAGAGAATATAGGCAGTAGTTGATCGCCCTGCATCATTAATACCACCCCAATCTGAATCTGAGAAGGTCGAGAGAGTGAAAGGAGATTGACGATTGAGAAAGACACCAAACTGAATGGTGCCTTTTAGATACCTTAGGAGACGCTTTAGAGCTTGCCAGTGCGATTGACGATGTGTGTGCATAAACTGAGATAATTTGTTGATGGCGAAAGAGATATATGGACGAGTAAAAGCCAAGTATTGAAGGGAACCAACAAGCTTACGATAGGGTGTGGCATCTACAGTTGGTGTGTCGTCGTTAAGTGTCAAGGCATCATATGTACTGAGTGGTGTGGACACATCATTGGCACCTTCCATGTGAAATTGATTGAGAACATCTTGGATGTGTCGATGTTGGGAGAGAAATAATCCAGAAGGAGTAGAAATGACTTCTACTCCAAGAAAATGTTGAAGCATGCCCATATCTTTAAGGGAAAACTTATTGCTCAAGGTTGTGATAAAATGGGTGATAAATTTGGACTCACTTCCAGTGAGGACAATATCATATACGTACACAAGAAAATAACAAGTGATGTTATGACGGTTGTAGATAAACAGGGAAGTATCCGCTAAGGATTTAACGAAACCAAATTGTAGAAGAAAAGAAGTTAACTCATTGTACCAAGCTCGAGGGGCTTGTTTAAGGCAATAGATGGATTTCTTGAGGTTACAAATATGAGTGGGAAACTCGGGATGAGCACATAAAAACTTCTTCATGGAGAGTGCCTTGCAAAAACGCATTGTTGATGTCTAGTTGTCTCAATGGCCAATTATGTGATAGAGAAATATAAAGTATGGTACGAATGGTCACTGGTTTTGTGACTGGGCTAAAGTATCAAAGTAATCTCGCCCGTATTGTTGAAGAAAACCTTTTGCAACAAGGTGAGCTTTGTATTTGTCAATGCTGCCATCAGGTTTGCGTTTGACCCGGAATACCCATTTGTAACCAATAGGAGTGTGGGAGGTGGGCGGGACAAGTTCGCATGTTTGATTTTGTAGAAGGGCATTGAATTCCAAGTCCATGGCATTGATCCATTTTGGATCCTTGAGAGCTTCGGTATGTGTGGACGGTTCAAGAGTGGAAGGAATTGGGTGAAGAGTGGTGGAATTAATGAGAAGAGGATTAAAGTATTTGGGATTTTTGTTTCGATGACGATGTGGCGGAAAAGGACTGGTTTGATGATGAATCGAGGTTGAGGGAGGGGGTGACGAAGGTGATTGAGGTGGTGAGGGAAAAGATTGGGTAGGAGTGGAGGAGGGCTCATCAGTGAAGGATGAGTGTGAGGCCTCATTAGTGGCTGTAAGAGTCCTTATAGGTATCATAGGTAGAGGTAGGGGTTGGACATCGAGTTAGTGTCTGGTGGTGGTGGATTAGTGGGTGCTGGTTGAGAGGTAGCGGAAGCGGTAAGGAAATCATCTGTGGTAGGCAGCGGTGAGATTGTAAGGGAAGTAGAGTCATAATGGAATGTGTTTTCAATGAATTCAACTTGTATTGAATGGTAAAGTATATGAGATGTGGAATCATAACATTTGTAGGCAGATTTGGAGGGAGAATAGCCAAGGAATATACATTTGGTGGAGCGGGGTTGAAGTTTGGTCGATGCATACAGGCGTAACCAAGGGTAGCATAGGCAACCAAAGGGTTTGAGCTTGTGGTAACTTGGGGCATGATTGTACAGTTTCTGGTAAGGTGATTTGAAATCAAGGTGTAACACCCCGAATCAGGAAGACTAAGAAAGGAAATGAAAACCCAAGGTCAAGGAGGTCAAGGAGGTCAACTCGTCGAGTCCATAGGTGAACACGACGAGTCGGATCGGGATCCAGGTTAAGGAATAAGTGACCGACTCGGCGAGTCGGTAAATGGACTCGGCGAGTCGATCGAGGAAAACCCTAATCTGAGGGTTTGCACCCTATTTAAAGGACCTTATGTCCTCTCCTTAGCCCCCTTGTCGGCCAGAAGCTGCTATACACGATTCCAAACCCTAAGTTGAGTGAGAGAAAGAAGAAAGTGAGATTGGGGCTTTACAAGAGGAAGATTTGGAGGATTTGACCACTAAGGAGCTGGAGGATCCAACCCTTTTGTTGTGAGCATCAGTTTGAAGGTAACAATCTGTCACCTTGCCTTTGTTGCTTCTAGATCTTCTCATGGATGATGTTTTGGGGCCATTTTGGTATGATTAAGAGCCATTTCGAGTTAGAAGTCCAGATCTGAAGTTGCTACTTCAGATCTAGGTGTGTTTCGGCCTAGAGAACCATAAAGTATCAGTCTTGGGGTGTTGGTGAAGCATGCTTGTCACAAAACCTAGCCCTAGAGTGTTTTAAGCCCATATCTCTTTGGTTTCATGTAAAGTTTGCAACTTTACATGAGGAATAGACTTGGGAAGGGTGGATCTATGAGTTGGAGCCCCTGCATGGCTCGAAAAGCCAATGTATGGATTAAGAACTGAAGCTACTCGGCGAGTCACATGGGTGGACTTGGCGAGTTGGATGAAGATAGGCAGGAACTCGACGAGTTGGAAGAGCAACTCGGCGAGTCTGTTGAATATTTCCATGGACTCGGCGAGTCTGTTCTTGGACTCGACGAGTCAGGTCGCAGAACCCCCAACCTCTTCTGGTTAAGACGCAGATCAGTGAGTTGAGTGGTGACTCAGTGAGTTGGGCAGAAAGGGACTCAGAGATCGTTGAACTCGACGAGTCTTGGGGTGACTCGGCGAGTTGAGTCGTTTTATGGGAGTTTCTAAATGCATGGACTCGACGAGTCTTGGGGTGACTCGGCGAGTAGAGTCAGTCAAGAAGGTTGACTTTGACCAAGGACTTTGACTCTAACCAGAGTTGGCTTAGTTTGACTTCTAGAGTTCAGTTTGGAACTAAGTGTTTTATTGGTATTAGTAGCTCGGAGAGCTAGTGGAGCAGTGATTCAGAAAGTGGTCGGACAGCAGCCAGAGGATTATCAGCAAAGTTCAGCAGTGCGAGGTGAGTCTCCTCACTGTTTGTATGGGTCTACGGCCACAATGCCGGCCCATTTAGTCTATGTATGATAGGAAGACCCGAGGGTTAGCCCTAGGCAATATGCATGAAAGACCAAGAGGCGGCTCCTGGCACACAGTATGTTATTATGTATGATAGGAAGACCCGGGGGTTAGCCCTAGGCAATATGCATGAAAGACCAGGAGGCGGCTCCTGGCACACAGTATGTTATTATGTATGATAGGAAGACCCGGGGGTTAGCCCTAGGCAATATGTATGAAAGACCAGGAGGTGGCTCCTGGCACAATGTATGCTATTGTGTATGAAAGACCAGGGGGTGGCTCCTGGCACACTATATGCTGAGTAGCCTAGTAGAGTAGTCTGTATATTTTTCTTTGTGATACTTGCATGGAAGACCAGGGGGTGGCCCGTGGCACCTGTCTGTAAGACCCAGGGACTGGCCCCAGGCTTGACCAGGAAGACCACGTGCGGCCCGTGGCATAACCACAAGACTATGTTTGGCACATAGCACCTTAGAAAGACTATGTTTGGCACATAGCACCTTAGCGAGACTATGTTTGGCACATAGCACCTTACTTGATTATGGCTATGTATGGCATGTATGGATCAGTTGGATTGTATGGTATGTGGTATCTGGGGAACTCACTAAGCTTCGTGCTTACGGTTTTCAGTTTTGGTTTCAGGTATCTAGTTTTCAGAAAAGGAGCTCGGGAGGGTTGCAGTGCACACACCATGACAAGTTAACCTGGGATGTTTTACTCTGATAATTAAACAAGTGTTTTGGAAATGAAACTATGATTTGTCATATAAACCCTTTTTTTATGTTTGAATGACTTAATACTATGAATTAGTAATGTTTTGAAAAGAAATTTTTGGACTCGAATTTTGGGATGTTACAAGTTGGTATCAGAGCCTTAGTTTGAGGGATTCGGGCACACTCTCGGGTGTGTCTGAACTCAAACTGATGAAGTGGTATAAAATTTTCAAAAGAAAGACCTTATTTATAAAAGGATTTTGAGGAAATAAAATGGTTTTAGAAAAAGCAAAAAGGAACTTTGGAAAGAGAAAAGGGTGTGGTGCATGCGACCAGCCGAGCTCAAGTAAATACCCCAAATTACCCATACAAGTTTATGTTATGTTTATCAGTTCCAGTTTTAGTAGAATAGCATGCTAGAATAGGACTAAGGATCTAGGAGGATGCCTTATGTGTCTGCTATATGTGTATGAGATTTATGAGATGCATGCTAGAATAGATTCCTGAGTAGAGGATAGAGCAATATGATTGGATTATGCGGTTAGATTTTCCCTTGTCTGAATGTTGCTTGCTTTGTGCATTGTGGGATTCTGAGTGATGGGAGTTAGCCATTAGGTGAATACGTCACGTCACATGTGATCAGGGTTGAATAATCTCAGAGTGTTGGATTTGGCCCTATTGCGGATCTCTCGTTTGAGTCTAACCGTTGTAGGGACGCGTCTTTTACTTGAAGGATTATCTGAGCCTCGTCACATGTGATGGTATTCAAGTGATGGCTAATTGGCATCACAAGAAGGCCTTCAGCAGCTGAGGACTGGTTTGAGTTGAGTCAGAGGTTTCCCTAGGGTAAGCCTAGGATGAGATAGTGTTGGGAGCTGTAGTAGTAGAGAAAGGGACCTAATGGAGTCGAAGCAGTTCTTGAGGAAAGTACAGATAGA